AGTTTCATTCATGCTTTTAGCTTTGTTGGTTAGATCAATTAGAGACACTCTCCCAGTAATGCAAGCAGAATCTGGGCCTTAATATGCATATACCTTTGCAAAACCCTTTCAAGTGTATGAAAATGAGCTTTGAAATAAAGGCAAAACCAGCTCATTACATCATTTTCAGACACCATTTATATCAGCTAGTGCCATCTCCAAGATTCATAATAGCATGATTTTATTAATTCTCATAAAGTCTGATTTTGCATTCAGGCAGTCAACATGATTTTAAGTGCCAATATCTCAACCCGAAAGTCAGTAAAATATAAAATAACATCAGTAGAATATTAAAGTCTCCCACTGAGATAAATAGAAATATGAAGGTTCAGACAGAGCCAAATAGATCAGTGCTCACTTCCTACTCATTATGTGCTTTCAGCTAGCACAGTACAGTTTTATAATTTGATAGAAAAAAAAAATTATACTTTTTAGCTGTTTTCCAGCCTGACTTTCTAAGGCTGCTCCTCCCTTTAAAAATGGCATAGTATTATTACCCATAAAATAAACCTACGACTACCGAACGAGCTCAGTTCAATGATGGCCCTGTTGCTGGGATATATATTCTTTTCTCAAAACAAGTCTTGGGAGGAACACCAAAAGCCAGGGGGGGAAAAATTAAAAAAAAAAAAAATAAAGCGGGGGGAGGGAAGGAGAAGTTGTTCTTTGACATCCTCCTTACTTCAGAACTTATTTGTAGTTCAGAATGGAGTCAAATGTCATATCGGCAATTAAACTTTGACTTCTACTGGAGCAATATTAATGTAGAGCGAGTCCCAGAGCAGCACTGCCCAGCCCCACGCTTGGGGTTAGCTCCAGTGCTAACCAGCACGTTGCTGACCGACACAGGAAATCCCTCTCCTGTTCCTTCAGTTGAACTGAAGGGCTGGCATAAAGAAAATGTCCAAAGTATTAACAGCAACAAAACCGACACAGGCTCGGAGCCAGCTTTCAAAGGCATTTAAGTACCTAACTTGCATTAATTTTAGTGGGACGAAGTTGCCTCTGAAAATCTGGCCTTCAGTCTTCACTTTTCTTAAGCCACTCCAGATCCTGTGGCTCTGTCAGGATGCAGAAGCAATTACATTTCACAGCTTCCAATCCAACAATATATTTTGGAAATCGTTCAAAGTACAGGGCTTTTTTTAACATGAAGTTTCCTTGTCCAATAAAATACGCTGGAACTTTATATACTTGGTATTTGCAGGTCTCGCTCCTTTTTATTTAGATTGCGGCCAGAAGCTCGCAGTATGTTGAAACCACTGACATCCAAAAAACCCTGCTTTCTTCCTTTAGGTGAGAGAAGCATTTAATGGGTGCCAATGCTTTGACAAATACTTTTTATAAAGAGTAAAATATACAATTTCATCTTTGCTGAACACTAATGTAATTGCTCCTGAACAAAACCACTGCCTAAAGAATGCTAATTCCAAAAAGAAGTAACGTAGGTGTTATAGTGCATATAAAAAATCAGAAATTAGCATTTGAGGTGTCCATTCCCATACGACTCCAAAATGAACTCAGCCCAACAAATACCAGTTTGGCTTGTAAAGGAATTCAGTGTAATGAAACACATTGAAAATTAGGAAACCAAATCCTCATTTTGATTCATAAAATAGATGTGCATACACTTGACCTAACAAAATCAATCTGAGAGTATTTTAGTAAAAATAAACATAGGTAGCTGTAACATCTAAAGACAGGCAGCTGCAATATCTGTTAATGCCAGGCCGTTTCACGAGATGATGCTCACACTGCACCGACAGATCATGCCACGCCACCTCCAGAGCAGAACCCGCAAGCCTTCTCCTCACCTGTGCCCATGGCCAGTTTGTCCCTTGCACTGGTTCCAGCTCCCCAGCATCACGGTACAGGGACGGGGAGCAGGTAAAAAGGTCTCAGACAAAACTCTATCCCCTCCCCACCTAAGCTGCAACAGGGAACAGGCAAAGAACTGAGGTGCTGCCTTTTGTGTCCCCCCCGCAACATCATGGGTTGGTCTAATAAAAGATGCTGTTCTTCCCTGAGGAACTTGCCTCCCTAGTTTATACCAGTCAGTTGTTTTCCTTTCAGCAAGTCTTGCTTTTAAGATCTAGTGACATTATACAAAGAAAACACACTGAAAATACAAATATGAGCTCTTTAAATGCTCCTCTTTCCCCAAGAGAAAAGGGTCTGTGGGCTAGTGCGTTAACCTCCTTCACGGTGCAACGCGCATTGCCTCTCCCAGGGAAGAGCAGAAATCTTGTTGCCTTCCAAGGGCACGCTACTGTCTCTCTGACCCTACGAGGCAGTACCCTTCTCCTCCCCAACGGAGTTTATTCCTCGCTGGCCTCTCAGACCTCCTTGAGGCTGGCTCACACGCTTCTGAAAATCACTCCATAAGAGAATAACCCACCTCCCTTTAAGCACCTGCTTGAGTCATTTCAGGAAATGTGTTCCTGACTCAGGCTAATCCTTCCTGGCTAGTCATCTTCCCTTTCCTTCCCAACTCACTCTTATCCTTTAATTGTTGATTTGATCCTTCATGTCCCAAGGCATCAGGGCTCCTTCCCCACTCCTGTGTTCAGCAGGACTCCCTAGGATGTCCAACACCTGGTCAGCCCCATGGCAGGTTATGAGGAAACCTCATTTCAAGTAGAAACTGAAGGCAGGGGTTGCGGCTTAGAGAAGACAAGGGTTTGCTCTTCTTTTAATAAGGTACAAAACTAAAGAATTTACTGCTGCTTATGTAACCTAACAGTTATTCAGGGTTTTTACTCCTTTGCCCTGGTTTAACCTTAGACATCAAACCTGTTGGGGGAACTCAAAAAATGTCAAGTAGTTGCATTTTCTTTCGTCTTTCTTCTGGAACTGAAACAAAACCACCAGCTGATGAATGGCCACTCATAACACAGACATTAATGCAATACTAAACAAAAGGAAAATCACCAAGGCAGTTTGCAAGGCTCCCTGTGATGTACAGTCATCAGGCAACACCGAGACCAGCACTAACCTAAACGGGCTTTGCAAACGCAACCAATACATGTTTCATCATTAATTTTCATGTTCTTATCACACACAGTTGAGTTAATTGGATGTAACGATGATCACATTTCCTCAACCTGTACTAAAAATATAAACAGTGCTTAAAGCAAGAGACAAAGGAAACACTCGAGATGCTTTCACAGGTAAGTTTACAACCTGTACTTGCAAGGTGAAGTACCTGTGTTACTGGCAGAACATACGGAGAGGCCGTCCAGCATATTAAAACGAACAATTTAAGCCATCATTTGGCTCCATTCGCAACACATTCCAGGAACCCCATAAACAAAGACAACATGTGCAACGCTAACTTTCTCTTTTATGCTGACAGCTTTTTTCTCCCATATAATGACCTTCCTGCACAGTGTGTGTTACCATAAAAAGAAACAGAGCCCAGTAAAATTAGAGGAACTGCTTAATATCAAAACGTTTTATCTAAGGAAGACACCATCGCCAGTGTAAATATAAAAAGCACAAGAATTAAAAAGTATTTGTTTTGCTGTCTCTTCTTTAAGTTTAGATTGTTCAAACAAACCCAGCTCGAGTTTTCAGTTACTCTGCACTAGACGGTCCTCCCAAAGGCTGAAACGGTACTCCAGAGAATGTGAACTTGGCTCCAATTTCAGACAATCTTCATCTTCTTTTTTCGACAAAGAGAAAAGTATTTGAATGCTTCGTCTGTAGCCAAGAATTTGGATATGAAAGACACACCAGTAAACAAGTCACCAGAACGGGCCACCACTGCACAGGCTGTAGCGCATGCTTCTTTTTAAAAAAACCTTCTCTGGCTCAAAGGACACCGTTTTATTTTACAAGCAGAATGCTAATGTGAAATTTTAGTTAGAGATTATCTCTCTCATCTAAGTACAAAAGAAAAGCTACATGAATTTTTGATAGAACAGAGCCTAAGTTTGCTATTTTGTTTGTACAAAGAAAAGTAAAAAGGAAGATAAAACAAGAACCTCGCAGCTAGTCGGCTCGGTAAAATGCTGCACCAAACTGAACTACTTTTTTTTTTACAGTTGTATTTGAACTACTAAGGAGAGACAACAACCCTTATTCATAGCATTCATCTTTCTATCAGCATTCCTAGAATGAAAACTGAACCTTTAAAAATATCATTGCTCTGTACCAAACGCATGCTAGCTTCCACCACGGCAACTATCCCACAAAACTCAGGCAAGGCTAATTACAGGTCCTTAGCTTTATTACCTTCTATACCAGCGAGCCATTCAAAAGCCCTATGGCTGCCTGGCAGCTAAGGCAGATATTGCCCTCAGCCAGAAGAGTTTTAATTTTAGCCTCGTACATTCGGTGACAATAGAAGTCTGAAAATCAGAGAAGACACCAGGCAAAAGCTCACACCAGCTCCACTATGGAGCTTCTTGCTCTACAAAGTGGCACACAGGAGAATGCAGCAGTACCGGGCGATGCCGGGGAGATTTCACTGAACGTGCCGGTAAAGTCTCCCTAAGCCGGCCAGAAACCCGAGGGAAGGAGATGAGAGTGATTATATACAGCTGAGCAAGCACAGTACAGAGACTCCTAAATCAGTGATACGGTGTTCACTGCTGGTGGGCTGGGGTAAAAATGTTTACCATCTGTGTTACTCTCTCTTTGTTATGGACACTAATGGAGCCTTCAAACATAAAAGCATGGGGGTGGGGAACAAAAACACGATTAAGCTGAAGTACTTTAAAATCACTTGTAGCTGTATATTACATAAGGAAATCCTGACATGAAATGAAAAATGGGTCGAAACCAAAACAGAGCAGTTTCAGGCTCAGCTCAGGAGGGCTGGGTTAGTCTGTCCCGGAGGTCTAGTTCTGAGCTATCAGGCACAGACAAACCCTTTTGGTACTGAGAAGGGGCTCTGGTTTGGACAGGAGAGCGAGGTATATTCCAATAGCTGCCAGGCCTTTCCGCCCCGGCCTTACCCCGAGCACACCCGCGGCAGCGAGTGTCCTAGGAATCAGCTGCGTTTGTACAAAGCTCTTCCGCAGGGGAACTTCTCCACTGCTCATCTCCTGCTGCTGAGAAGCCACGATGGCCTGGAGAGTACGACAGTCTGTAGTGAAGCCAAAAACTAATACATGCCATTCAGTTTGCAGTCTGTGCATAAAACCAAGCATGTGACTTGCTCGTGCTAGACATCTCATGCTGTCATACGTGAAAACAGGTGGAAATCACAGCCTCCAGCCTGACTTCCATCTCAGACGTATTTTTCCCTCTGTTCATCAAAATTTATGTAAAGGAAAGGAGTTCCAACAACCTGGTATCTCCACTACAACCTCATGTAGTTGCCTTGCTATGTCTTCTCACAGTCCCTCCCTCCCTGACAACCCAGAACAACACTGCAGGGCATCTACGGTAACAGGAGGCCAACCCAGTTTCCTTCAAGCCCAAGGAAGAGAGCTTGGCTCAGACTCTTCTGCTTCCAACTCAACACAACTAGCTATCGGGGTGTCTATTCTCCAACCCCAGCACATCCAAATTCTTTGGCAGCCAGTGCCCAGTTTCATAAGAGCTGTCAGTAATTGGAGGCTAACTCCTCAATTCCGCACAAGCACACAGCACAGCCTCACAACAACGCAAGATCATCCCTCAAGGAGAATAACGCTTTTTCAGAGGAGATCTTTCAGGTAAGTCATTACATCTCTCCTGTTACTGATGCTAGTTCAAACATAACTCTAACAGAGCAAGAGTGGACTTCATGAACCACAAACCAAGCCACAAAGAAGAAAATGAGAGGTGGAATAGCAGTTTGTTGTCCCTACACCTGGAAGGGCCTCCCAGCAGTCTCACCACGCTGAGAGTGGGTTTTGGAACCAACTGGTGCCACCTGCAACATGACCAAAACTGAAACACCACACGGGTTTGAAAAACGCTTTGAGAGCTGACACGAAGTTGGAGAAGAAAAGAATACAACTGAATCAGTCTTGGGCTCAAAATTCACCCCTGCTAACGCACGGTCTCAGCAGATGAACCACTGACGGTGGATCACTCAGCGATGTGCTTGTGAAAACTCCCTCTGGAATTCCAGGGAACTCATGACTTTTGGTTCCTATGCCTCTCAAGAAGTGCTCTAGGATTAGAGTTAAAAGAAAAGGGAGAAGGGTAAAAGACACAGTTTGCCAAAGTGTAGAGCTTCTTCTGGAGAGCAGCAAGTAACAATGTAGGCAAACCTGTGTGGAAACGAGTCGGTAATCGTAATCCTAATAATAAAGGAAAACTCCGTAACTGAAAGAGCAAAGAACAAACCACCGACCCTTCAGATCACAGAGGAAAATTAATCAGATAGTTTTGATACCATTTTTCTAATTCTTACCTTCTCAGTGAACCTTCATGTTCTTGAGGCATGCAGCTAAGATTCTCAAAGTCACACACTTCTCCCTCCAATAATTTATCTATCATCTCACAGAAAAGTGGTGAACTCACACACATCTACAAAAATAAAATAAAGCGTTTACCAGGCAGGCGGGTGGGGTAAGTCCTTTGTTTTGTGTATAGATACCCTTTGCTTGATGCTTTGCCTCCGATACTCTGTTTCCTGCATACCCTACAGATGTTTCTATTAAAATCGTTATTACTTCAGGGCACTAATGGTAGACTGTTTGAGAATTCAACTCATCTCTGGTGATAACCTCTTCTTAACCTTCTATACAGCATCCATCATCACCTTCTAGATACGTTTTGACAGGTTAAGAGACATCAACCTGCCAGAGCGCTCTTGGTCTTCAAACCTTCTTTTATATATTTATATTTTTTATATATATATAAAAATGTAATTTTTTTTTTTG